TTTTCAAAGAGAGGAGTTCAAAGGAGTACTGGTGTGAAGAAACCCGCTAAAGTTGTTCCTCATGGAGTTGAAGCAGCTGAAACTTTTTCTCCGGTGATTCCAATTCCGCTCAAACGTTGTGATTGGATAACACCGAATTCGGGTAATTTTTAAACTCATTTTCTGTTATTTCCATTTCTCGTTGTGTATTTGTGTGAGAGAGAATTGCAAATATGGACTCTTTATGTGTTCTCGAGTTAGAGTTTAATGAATTGTGTTCAATTGTAGCCTCGGAAGCTAAATTACAAGTTTATTGAGGAGGCTGAGCTAGAATTTTAAGTTTATGGCTTCTCGATTCTAGAAAGAGCAACTTACTAGGTTCATGATGAATTATTCATGCTCGTTGATCACTATTAAATGAATTTTTAAGCATCCCACTTGAGGGATCACACTGATTATGTTGTTTTGTTGTTGAAGTGAACTTTTAAACACAAATACAAAGTATGGGCCAAAGCTAGTCTTGTACCGTAACCCCTGAAATTATAATGATAATTACATAGCAGGATAACTCGAAGTTGCATGAGGACAGTTTGCTGGTTGGTATTAATAATAGTGTGTGAATGCAAGATATTGGGACGTGTAGAACGGGAAATTTAGAATAACGTGAATTATTATGTTACCTTTCTCAAAAAAAAAGAATAAGGTGAATTATTTAGTATCAGTATCAAAATGTTTCAAATTATTTGTATAATGGACTCTTATTAACTGATTTGGGATTGAGGGTGATTGATTGATATTATTTGAAAGGTCAGTGGGGGTTGGCGACTAACTTCTAGCAGCTCCATATTGAATACAAAGAACTCGATGATCTGATCACTTTAGCAGTTTTTTGGGATTGATTGAGACCCGTGGTTCGTTTCCCTTGTGCGATATTAAAGGTAGACTCATCCCTAATGTTGGGCTTTCTAATATTTGACGACCTATATTATATCACTTAATGCTCTAGATGTCCGTACTTGGCGAGGAGGTGTTAGAATTCCACATTGGTTAAGTACATGACCTTGGTTAATCCTCGCCAATTGACCTCTCTTTTGCAGTTGAACTAGGCTCAAGGTCTATTTTCTTTCTTGAAGTATTGTGAATTGAGCTAAACTAAATAGTTTGGACGTCCATAATGTAACACAGGGAGCACAAACTTTTGGAAAATGTATTTCCCATTTCCTTCTGGAAGAAAAATAGTGCTGCCTTATTCTGACTTTTGGTACACACATAGATTGTAGTATTATTATGTTCTTGAGGACATATTCTAGCCTTGGTTGATATTTTTTGGACCCGAGCGTTAACAATTCCTAGGTTATCTACAATGATAATCCTCTAGTTTATTGCATTTGCAAATTTCTCCCACTAACTTTATGCAACAAGTTGAAGAGGAGATGCATGGATGCCCCAATGCGGAGGTGTGAGAGATTGTCTCGTGGGATTACACTGGGTATGTTGTAATTTTCTGAAACAAGAGGCATTAACCACAACATGAGTTGGTGCATTCTCTCTCACTGATAGTGATGAAGAACAATGTAAAAGCTAAAAAGAAAGAGAGAATAAGAACTATTTGCAAATATTAATTCCACGGGTGACCCTGACATTGCTTAGTTGAGATTTGGCAGGACCACAAATTTTTATGCTCCTCTCCTGCACCTTTATGTTGGAGGTTTTAATCACCAGAAAGAGAAGTGTGAAAAGGCGTTATTGACTCCTGGGTAGAGGGTTTAGGGGGTGAGTTGGTGTTTTAAAAATATAGAATCAGAAGATCGAGGAAGTTTGTGTATGACATGGCTATGAATCAGAAGGTTTAGTGTTATTTCCCCTAGTCAATTCGCTTCACCTTGAATAGGTTCTATGGATTGACGTATGTATTATCCATCTCGGCTTCTTTTACCAATATGGCAATAAAGCATGTAGCTAGAAGAACTTTTTTGGAATGGTCTCACAATAAAACCCCTCATATCTATCAAAAGTTCTGAAACATAGTGTGACTTTGATTGTTTGGTTATGCTTGCCAACTTTATGTTTCAACAACAACAACAACAACATACCCAGTGAAATCCCACTAGGTGGGGTCTAGGGAGGGTAGAATATACGCAGACCTTACCACTACTCGTGGAGGTAGAGAAGTTGTTACCACTAGTTTTGGTGAGATGCTATTGCAGTATTTCTTAAAGAGAGAATTTTATTGGACAGCATTCCTCCCTCGATCAGGTGGAAGGAATAATTAATCAAATTCATCAACCTAATTCTGTTATTCCTTTTGCAGAACCCCTGTATATTTCATTCCATGATGAAGAATGGGGAAACCCAGTTAACGATGACACAAAGCTATTTGAACTACTTGCCTTATCACAAGTATTGGCAGAACTGACTTGGCCTGCAATCCTTAATAAGAGACACATATTCAGGTCCACTATTAAAGATCATCTCTCAGATCTTCAGAAGTAGAAATGTTATGTCCATAGGTTTGAAATTACTTATGGTTTACATCTTGCAGGAAGTTGTTTGACAATTTTGATCCATCATGTCTTGCAAATGTTAATGAGAAAAGATTGCGCTCGTTGAGAGAAAATGGAAATTCATTGCTATCTGAACCAAAGATTCGTGCAATAGTAGAAAATGCAAAGCATTTCCAGAAGGTAAAAAGAACTATCCAAGTACCTTTACACCCGAAGTTGCAAAACTGATCCTAAACTGCTTTAGCTTTTCAAATATAGACGTTTCTTTGACTTGCTTCTAATCTTGAATCAAGTGATTATTATTTTTTAAACTTAGAAGGAACAACTAATTCAAATTTTACTATATTGTCCAAAAAACATACCATCAGTAAACCGGTAACTTTAACCTTTACACTAAAACAGATGGTTAAATATCTTTGTATGAACAAGTCAACTTTTCCTGTGGTGCATAATCACTGATGGCTCTCAAATATCTACTTGTCTTGCAGATACAGCAGGAGTTTGGATCCTTTAGCAACTACTTCTGGCGTTTTGTAAATCACAAGCCAATAAAAAGTGGATTTCGCTATGCACGTCAAGTACCAGCAAAAACACCAAAATCAGAACTTATGAGCAAGGACCTGATGAAAAGGGGCTTCGTTTGCGTAGGACCAACAGTTGTGTATTCATTCATGCAAGTGGCAGGTATATTTAATGACCATCTCATTACATGCTTCAGATACAACGAATGTAACAACGATAATATCAACAAGCATTCACAAACAAAGTTAGTAAAGACAGATACACAAGGCCGGGACCCTGTTGAGAACAACACACATATGAGCAATGACCATTTGAGTTTGACATAGCTGATATCCTCTGTGAATTTGTATCAATAGTCTTGACGTACTTTTAACCAACCGGATTCTAATTTACAAGAGTGTTGCTTTGATTGGTAGTCTTTTCAGCTTTGCCATGTGTGTATTTAGAAACTTCCTAACTTTTGTATTTGTCATGTATGAAGAGATTGAAGATTGTACTTATATCTATATACTATGGTGTCTGCTAATTTCTAATATTTGATGATTCTAGTGGTATGTTTTTCAATAATGGTCTAAATTTTCCGTTGTATTATCCTATATTGCTCAAGTTAGTCCATTTATATCCTCATGGTTAGCAAATCTGTTGTATTTACCATTGCCATTAATAGAGTTCTAACACAAATGGGAGGACTTTACGTGCCCATATCTACCCCTCAATATTTTTACTATGGTTTAAGCTTTATAATTGTGTTAGAGTTCTGTTAGAGGTCAAGGGAAAAATCGAGACTTTGCAAAGTTGCTCAATTTTAGCTAGTTCAAGGACATATTTGACCTTTTCTTTGACAAACCTTGTCATCTTTGTCCAGCAATTTACTAATGCTGGACCTTGTTGGCAATGTAGATGTTTGTCTGCAATAAAATCCAACAGCTTTGCATATATACATATAAAATCCATAATTGGTGTTGTTTGGAAACTGTTTGACATTACCACATGTTTGAGAATATTGTATGCCTTGTATCTTGATTTGGCTATATAAGGGCAAACAATGTCGAATTCAAAATTTTGAGTTTATGAGTTTTGAATTCTAGAAAAAGATTGAATTCTGGACAAGTTTTTATTTTTCATTTTTATATTGGTATTGGGGCAGAGGAAGGGAAAATGGGGGAGAGGGATTACAATACAAGGTGGAATTGAACCTCACCAACAGGTGAAAATTTAGGCAACCAACCAACTAACTAAGCTACTAAGTTTTTTCATTCAGAATAATTATTTACACATTCAGTTAGTTTTGTAACACAGTTACAAGATTTTGATCGAAGCTACTGAGTTCTGTCAAATCCGTAGCTTGGTGACAAAAGGGCAAAAATAGAGCAGCAAGCAAGACATGTGACAATAACCGCATTATGAGAAAAAAATAATGATAAAGTAACTGTAGAGGAACATGTGTAATACAGTAGTACAGAACCCCACATCCAGACATTAAGCCGTGGTCTTGTACATTAAATCAGTTAAACACCATTTGTTTAATCTTTTTTTCCTTCTTTGTCTGTGCTTGTGTTATCAACAAACGTGTGCATGAACATGCCATTATTATTAATATTACTACTGGTAGTTTACTAATGGGGCCAAAAGAGTGACAAAGAAAATTCAACAATTTTGATTTGATGGTCAAAAACTTCCAACTTCTTGACATATATCTTGCCATAGGCCATCCCTATGGAAGTTATTTCGATTACGGAATCATGCATGTCTGTTAGAGTGAATTGAATGATCGAGCTGAATAGATCTTTTTCAAAAGGGCTATCTTACTTTCAACCCTTGAGTCGTCAAAGTCTTTCTGGCTCGATCTGGCCCACCATAGCCTGTCCTTTAGGGACATATGAGTTAAAATGGTATAGTGAAGGTTTATGTAGCCCTTCCATTTCCAATGAGAACAAAATAGACAAAGACAACTAGTACTAATGTTTTGATCTGGACATAAAGCATCAAAGAGACTAAAGAATAGCACATCCATTGATTTCGAATTGAAGCTAGATCATAAAACAAGAAATCCAGTTGCATAGCAACCAAGGGATCTACCATAATCAAGAAAAATATAACTCTGGATAGTTCAGGTTTATGGAGAACTCCTGCTAGTCTACAATGACTTAAAACAATTCTCAACCACAAGGAGATAGAAACCATCAACTATCTATACCTAAATGCTTATGACAAGACCCAAACTAAACTTAAAGGGCCTTCTCAGATTAAGGCGAAAAGGAAAAAAAATGTTTGTATATAAGGTAAACAGCAACATGCAAGATCTATCTCTGTAACGAACATCCACTGGACTGCTTGAGTGATTCATCAGCTAGCAAGCTCGGATAATCTCAATCTGTAATCCACACTGAGCAGTTCTTTAATCATGAAAATCACATCCGAGCAGTCCCACTTCCGAGAGTGAGCTCCAGATCATCTAAACCAACCTCGTGAATCTTTTCTCCTTCCCATGCTGCCTTCACTGATACATTCTCAAAGTCAAACTCAATACTCTTACCCTTGTCGATGATCATATCATTAGAAGGAATTCTCTGAGCTACAGGCTTAATAAGATTAAAAGTTGGAGAAGTAGGGATCCCATTGGCTGCATACTTTTGAAAGCTCATCCACTGGCCAGAATCAATGGTGGATGAATCAGACTCATCACACTCTGGTATTGTAGCAGGAGTGAATCGCTGACCTCGAGTTGGGCTAGTTGGGGCTGAAGCAGCAAAGAAAGGGATATTTAAAGCAGACATAGACTCTCTGGCCAAAGTTTCAAGATTAAATATCTGCTTAGGGACTCTAGTTGGTGATGAAAGAGGTGGTGTTACAGGGGCACTGTTTGATATTCGTAATGGTGGTAGCGACAAAGGAATGGAACTATGGAGAAATGCAAATGGATGTGACGACATGTTAGCATCACCACGTGATGGACTGGGGAAAGACGAGGATGTTGGACTAGGTTGATAAGATGGAATAGGGCTAGCAAAGTATGAAGAGGGAGGACTTGGATTTCGTGAAGAACTTGGCGTAATGTTGGCTGAAGTACCTCCAATCTCCATTGGAGTTGGCCTGCATCCCTGAAAACATAGTAAAAGAAGACATTTTCAATCAAACTAGTGAACATAAATGATTAAAAGGCTCTGTAATCTGAGATAACAACTTAAACAGATTGCAGCTTCGAATCTCGAAAAGTATTGCATAAACTAAAAACACCTCAACCAAATGCATCAAACCCCACCATAGACACCAAAACTAAAGGGGCCCTGCTTATCCATTTCTATATTAAGAACAGTCAATTCTTCCTTCTTTTTTTTTGCCTTCTTGTTTTTCCAGAAACAACTCCCATTCTCAGACAAATTAAACTACATACATTCATACCAATTATCCAGAAATGAGAATATGAACAGATTATAAGTACATAAAAAGAACAATTGAATTAAAGAAAACACAAATTCAGAAGCTGTTCATACTCAATTCTAGATCAGAAAACCATTAAACAGTCCAAAAACAACTGAAAACAGATAAAAACACAATCTTTGGTCCAAATTCAACAACCCCATTTTCCAAATCTATAGATCTAACCAAACTCCAACCAAAAACCCATCACCCCATCAATTCAAACAAACAAAAACTAAGACACAAACACTACAAACCATACATC